CCCTGAACCCTAAACCCCAACCCCCAGCGGGCACTGGGAGCTGAGAGCTGCGGGAGCTTGGACAAGTCCAGGCTCTGCAGGCATCGGGCAACATGAGCTTAGGGTGTTGGGGTTAAGAGGTTTGGAGGTTTAGGGGTTTAGGGTTTAGGGGTTTAGGGGTTAGGGGTTGAAGGTTTAGGGGTTTAGTGTATAAGGTTAGGGGTTTAGGGTTTAAGGTTTAGGGGTTCAGGGGTTTAAGGGTTTAAGGTTTAGGGGTTTAGGGGTTTAGGGGGCTTCGGAAGTTCATACTGTCCCACCAAGCTACCACAGTCTTCTGTGGGCAGTCGCTGCTGATGTGATCGGCGGACTTGCAGAGGAAACATGTCCTGGGAGACACAATCAAGGGCTCTGTGCCAGAAGGACGAAGACAACGGAACCCTAACCTCAACGCTCGCAAGGCAGCACTGGCTTTGAGGCTCGAAGAAAAGCGCCATCCAGGGCAGCCCGCTTCCAATCCTAAACCCCAAAAATCCCCAGAGACTCCAATATCCCTTGACTAAGGAATATACCTTAAATCATATTAAGGATCCTACTATAATTTAAGGAATATTCCGTAATTAAGGAGTATTGGAGTCTCTGGGTCCAATCCTAAACCCCCAAAATCATGAAGTGAGTCAAGTCTCCGATCTGCACCGTTTCGGAGCGCCTCGCAATCGGCCTGTCTTCCGGAAGGGCCATTGACAGAGACTCCAATACCCCTTAATGAAGGAATCTTCCTTAAATTATAGTAGGATCCTTAATATGATTTAAAATATATTCCTTAATTAAGGGATATTGGAGTCTCTGGGATTGACACGTGTAAGAGCGCATGGTTTTTGCTTGCTCACTGTAGGTGTACCGAATATCTGTAAGGACTCACCGAATCACCGCGACACTCCGAGAGCTAAATCCCTAAACGCCCCAAATCCAAAACACACCCTCAACCCAGACAGGATGCACAAGCCCGAAAACCCTTTTTAATAGAATCCCCAGAAACCATGTGGATGAACAACTGTCTGGTGCTTAGTAGAATGGGGGAATGGGTTGTAGGGACTACTATAAGGGACCTTAAGGGACTATCATAGGGATCCATTCCCCCATTCCCTACTAAGCACCAGACAGACAAGCTTGACCCAAAACCCCAAGGCACTCTCCTCGCTGACAGGCTTGGCCTGCTCGTGACCTCGGCCGCCGCAGTGCCAGCAAAGGCGACCTCGAGCGCTCGTTCAGCGGCGAGAGGGTTAGGGTTTAGGGTTTAGGGTTTTTTTTTTTAGGGTTTAGGGTTTAGGGTTTAGGGAATTCATATCAAACGTATACAGCTTTGTCTAAATCTAAGGTCTTTAGGGATTGCATAGGTTAGGATTTCATGAAGTGAGTATGAAGTGTTTAGGGGTTTCCTCAAGCTTTTTAGGATTTTGGATCTTGACACGATTTTATGGTTCAGGGCCCTGAAGCTGGCATCTAAGGCTCGGAACGCGCAAGATTCTAGGCGAAAGCCTGCTCACACTCATCTTGAAGCCTAAGCCCTAAACCCCTAAACCGTAAGTCTTTAAGCTGGTCTTCGGAAGATTCAGGAGCGGGCTTTCAGGTTCTGGCTCTGCGTTCTGACCCGCTCTCCCCGGAACCCGAAACCTCGACCCCTCTACCACGAGCCTAAAATCTCCAAATACTAGAGTCCGGATGAACCTGGCTGATGAGTTTCAGGTCATAAGGCTGAGGGGAAGGGCACTGATGCAAGTCTGAGTGTGCCCGACGTCAATCTCTGCTGCATTCAGGTCGGTAGATAACCAAAATCTTCTCTGGCTTCCAAGTGAAGGATATATACCCTGAACCCTAAACCCATATCGAGCCAGTGGTACATTGAGCGGAACCACAACGGAAGCTCCCTTGTGGGGCTTGAGTTTGGAGGGGTCCGAAGGGCTGCTATGGCAGGAAAGCCCTGGGCTTTCAGGGCATTTCAATAGCTTGCAAAATATCTTTAAGTATTTCAACTGAAGGTTTTGGAGCTTACCTTCGCCTTCCCCCAACAGCCAAAACATCCCAGTACGTGTACCCTAAACCCCTGAGCTTTGATGATGCCCGGGTGCTCTCAGCGTTGCCACCCCGCTTGCGGCCCATCAGGAGCGAAATATCCGACGAACTAACTACACTGGAAGCCCGATCCCACAACATATCCACATCCACATACACATACACATCCATATATATATATATACCTTATAGGCCCTATAGCATATACCATATTACAGTTCATGTACATATACTCGTACATTTGGGATTTATACATCCATCATACAGACAGACATACAGACATATTCACTGTATGGAACTGTTCAGGGCTTCAGGATGCTGGGATTCCTAAACCCTAAACCCTAAACCCTGGGTCCCGGGGCTAAGGGCCTGCTCTTTCAGTGCCAGGCTCGAGGGCTTTTCGTGTCATGGCCGTCTTCGTTTTGGCTTGGATCTTGATGTCCTGGGGTTTAGGGTTTAGGGCTTAGGGTTTAGGGCTTTTAGGGTTTAGGGCTTAGGGTTTAGGTGCTAGTATCTGGGCGGTCTTCGACATCCAACAAGTCTCAAGTTTAAGTTTGGTTGCAGAAAGAAAGCAGCACTTGTACCCTGAAGCCCCGAACAACGAAGTTCCGGACCCGTGTCGATTGTAAACTGTAAACTCCATAGCATTGAGACACAGACCGGAGGGCCAAACCTCCGGGTCCGACACGCCTCACCCCAAGTTCCCCATGCTGAGAATCCACGGATGCTCGAAACTAGAGACAGCGTGCGATCGTACCTTTATGCCTCCGAAATTCCAACCTTTGGTTGCTGTGTCTTGTTTGCTCCTCGAGAAAGCTAGATCTTCGCAGACACGGAAGTTCATGAAGCCGTAGGTAGCTGAACCAGACCCGACGTTTTCTGATCCAAGGAAGAACGCCAGAACAGAACCCGCTGCTGGGAGAATGCAAACCCCAAAACCATGACACCACGAACCTAGCAGCAGAAACTTCGACGCCGAAACCCTGAGAACGCAACCCTAAAAATGAGGCTTTTGGACTACGCGCCGAACGGTAGGCGGTCGAGATGGGTTGCTTCGAGAATGGGGCGGCTCAAGCCACCGCAACTCTCGACCTCACCTGGTGGTTCAAGGGTTTAGGGCTGTCGTAGTTTTGGGTTGTTTGTGGGTTGTGGGTTGGGAGTAAAATTTGAAGACCAAGAACTTGACAGCCTTCAGATAGATAGCCGAAGAGGGCAAACCAAAAACAAAAACGCAAACACACACACACACGGTTAACAACATGAGGCAAGATGATGTTAATGATGATGATAATGATGACAATTACAAAGAACATGACATTGTATTTTGGTACCATGTGTGCCAGACCACAGGAGTGGCATACAACACAAGCCACGATGCGATCATCCGTCAGGGGTATGTCCGCGAAATGAGATGGAGATAAAAATGAAGCAGGCGTAAGCAATGCAGGTACTTTTCCCTAAATTGTAGGGGAGAGCTTCGTTGGACGGTGCTCCTACACCCTCCGTCCCCCTGCAAGAAATGACGACGAAAAAAGAAAAGGGGCATGACTCCCCTTAGCCCATGAACTGGCACAGTTCACACACACACACACACATACACACACCCTGTACACCTTCCTTTTGAACACCGTCTCATGCCATGCTCTTTCTTGGCTCGCATGCGTAGGGCTTAATAATTGGGTAGTTGTCAAAATTATGGTCCCTTTTGGGGTACCTTAAATAATAGGTGCCGTATTATAATAAGGACCCCAAAAAGGACCATAATTTTGACAACCACCCAATTGGAGGTCCTTAAGGTGCAAAGGAGCATGAAACTTCTGGGGGCAAATGCTTAGCTAAGTCTGCGGATCACAGCAGTCGGCTCCCTCCACGCATTGTAGCAAACCCTCAACTTAGGGTTTAGGGTTTAGGGTTTAGGGTTTTCTTACTGACTGTCTTGTTGGCATCTAGTCCCGCACGAAGCCATGATGAAGCTTTCAAGCCCGAGCCCTTGCCATACCCGAAATGCATTGTTCCGAAGTTTTGGGTGCCCCGCCCTCGAGTACATCGTGGATGGCAGACGGCATGGTGCGCGGCCACCAGTTCCATTCCTGCGCCGTAAGCCTGCAGTGCTCCCGGCTCAGAGAGTTTGGGCTGGCACCTGAAAAGCCCGAGGTTCCTTAGGACCCTAAACCCTAAACCCCTTTGACCCTTCGCCGTTTGGGGGGTTGTTTGGGATTCTGCACCTAGGGCTGGGATAAAGAGGAGCAACGGTCCTTTAAAGGCCCTCTGTGCTATCTCTTTGGTATCTGCAACTCCATAGCTTGGAGACTCAAACTAGGTTTCTCAGCGGCCCCTTAATAATAAGGCTCTTCGGTGTTAATAAGGGAAGCCAACAGAAAAAGGGCAAAAGGGTACTACTGGGGAACCTAGCAAAAGTTGGGATTTTGTGTCCCGGCAGGGAAAACTTGGTCTGAAGAGCCTAACTCTCGTGGGTAATGGGAAGCTCTCGAATCCGGATGCCTTCTCCCCTCGTCTTTGGAAAAAGGCCCCAAGCCGCAACCACCCCCTCGCACCCAGCGGCCCAAAGAAAGCAACTCCGAAGAGCGAGGGAACAACTCTGGTTACCGGACTTATCATTTAGACCTCCATGCCCATCTCGCACACCCAATCAATTAGAATTGTGCGTCGGGGGTATCTGGGGAGAGCAGTCGAAGACGAGGACAACAAATAGATGAGCTGAGAAACGCATCTTTTTGATATTGCCCTTGATCACAATAATGCAAATGCTGAAGATTCAGCGCAGAGCCGGGTAGCATCAGCGCGGGCACCAAGACGGTTCGCACAACGAACGTGTCCAGCAGCCTAAGGAGCTGTTCGAGGTTGTCTGTTTCATGCTCTGAGGTCAGCACCAGGGTATGGGACTGGGCTAGCCTTATGCGGATTCCAGCGAAGAGTTCTTGAGTCCTGGATATCTGACCCGAGATGACGCTGAATGGAAGTTGGGTAGTTTGGATTTGAAAGCCTGCCTGCTGCTTTCCAGCAAACTTTAATAGGGCTTGTATAAACAAGGAGCTCTATGTGGAATCTAGGCGGAAACCCGCAGTGCTGAGAAACTCCAGCTGTTTTCACCACTACGAGTACTGATGTTGATGAATGAGTCAGTTTTGCAATAATGGCTAGAACAAGTTTATCTTTTACCCGTGCTATTGTACACTGTGACGACCTTCAATGCCGCTGTTGTTGCAGTTTTGGCATCCTTGTCGGAGGATCTGACTGTAAAGGCCTGTTGGGGGGGGGGGGAGGTGCTCCTTGGAAAAAGATTGAAGGCCAGAGGTGGGTTCGGAATCCACAAGTTGCTGTCGGCCTCCTACAAAAAGCGTACTTGCGAGGCTGCTCACACATGAAAGGAACTTGGATATTGGATGGCCTGGTAGAAGCTGCTTTGGAGATACCATGCCTGCTGCTCTCTTTCAAAGCCTAGGGAGACTACCAACACAACAGAAGGTCACGGGAACCCCACACCTTGAGTTCGAAAAGACGAGGGGCACCGACGTGATGATGAGAACGCCGAACTGCTGGAAGAAGATCTTGTCCGAGACGACCAAGCCTCTCCACAGTTTAGGGTTTAGGGTTTAGGGGTTAGGGTTTCGGGTTTAGGGTTTAGGGTTTGGGGCTTAGGGGGTTAGGGTTTAGGGTTTAGGGGCCCCTGAGCCCAATGTCGTAAGCATCAAACCTTGAAACTGTGAGCCTCAAAGCCTTATACTACGTGGAGGCAAACAGGTACATGACAAGTTTGTTATGAGACGTGCAGCTGAAACGAAACCATACTCACCAGCGGCCATACTCCCGAAGCCCCTAAATTAGGTGCAAAGCCCGCGAAAGGATCGAAGTTCTAACTCACTCGACTTCAGCAGTCACAGCTCCTCAACGCCGTGGCGGCGGGCTTATCACCACAAGGACAGACACACGATGTAGTAAGTAGTGGCACGCAGGAACGAGCTGTCTGTGAGTCGTATCGTGAGCGGATGAAAACCCGCCACAGAACCCGTCTTGACCATGCTAGAAACCGCCTTGCGGGATGGGTATTAAGCCCGAGTTTCGGAGACACCCAAGACACATACATGGCCTGAGAAGGCCAACGACATGATCAGCCCTGCTCCAGAGATGACGTCGCCAGTTTTCAGCACACCTCGCAACGGTCCTACCTTGGTGACCTTGAGTGTTCTTTTCAGCACTGTGGGGGCTTGGCTTCTTCCTAAAACCGTTCGACTCTCCGTTGCAATAAAAAGCTCGCATGATCGGCTCGGAGTTCCGGGGAGGAGGTGAGGGTTTAGGGTTTAGGGTTTAGGGTAGGAGGGGAGTTCCGCCTGTCTTTGAGCCTCGGCAGATTCCACTTGAGCTTGACACCCGTTTGGGCCACGGCACACGTCACCCGATCTAAGCAAACCGGGCAACTCAGCAAGCAATTAAAGTTAGCAAAGGTTGTACTCGTTTGGGGAATGGTGCGCCACCACCCACCACAGCCGTCCAGATCCTATCCCAATAGATGTATATCTCAACCCTAAACCCTAAACCCTAACCAAACTCCCAAAACGGGGCAAGCAGGGTATATTCATTTTATGTCTCATAGTGTCATAGTATGGTAGTAGGGTGGGTCATTCAATAGTCGCGTGCTTTTTAGTATTCAGTTATTACTGATGATTTGCTTATGACTTCGGATGCATATGACAAGAGCTCTGTGCATTGAAACGGGTAAAAGTTGCCTCTGCATGCCTTAATTTACAATGGTAGAATGGTCTTCAATTTTCTTCTAGCATTATCCTGTCTGGAACATCTTTCTCAAATTCTGGATCCTGTGTTTTTTCAAAATGCTGATGCATTTGTGACTATGCGTCACAACCTGGACAAGTAAAGATGTAGTCTTTGATTGTGTTTCCGTGCCACAATTACAACCTGGACAAGTAATGATGTAATCTTTGATTGTGCTTTCATGCGCTTTTGTTTCCACTCCTTCACCTTTTCAGGATTGTTTGCCTTGTAATTGTTTGTTCTTTCATTATGTTTTCTGGGTCTTCTTGATCCAGCCTTGACTTGTTTCTCTACATACATTACATGCTTTGTAGCCTTTGTCAAACTTCTCAAGTTTCTGCACGATCTGACAGCCGCCGCAACTATTGTCTTTCAATTTGTGTAATTCTTGGGCTCGAGGCTTGAACTTGACCGCTGTGTTTCTAGGTACGACTGCGAAAGATCGCCGAGAACGCGCGACCACGACGACGACGACGAGTACTGCATCATCATCCAGGGGCGGAAGGGTCTGGGGCTTGGTGAGTGAAAGCAACCAAAAGCAAAAACAGCAACAAAAAACAATATCTGGGAAGTCTTGCATGTTGTTTTTTGTTTTTTTCCTTTGGTTTTTGTAGTTTGGGGTTTTTCATAATCCCGGGCGGCGCAGCTGTTTTACGATGCGCCGCTTCTTTCGTTGGGGGGGCCTGCATGAGGTTTTCGGGTCTCGCGCCAAGCTCGACAGAGCACGCAAGAGAAAAAAATACTCCAAAATCCAACGTTTTGGTGAAAAAATGTTACATAAGGGTCTGGTGGTTGAATTAGGAGTTAGAGGAAATGGGGACAGTGCAGGGTATGTTTCATACATTTGGTAAAATACCTACTTTCCATCGATGACCAGCCACTGTCTAGCACTCAAAACAGTGTTTGAAATATACTTGTTTGCTACTCAGCTTTTGTAACTGTTAAAATCAACTAACTATGTATTGAAAGGACATTTGATGAAGAATTTCATAAGTTGAGTTACTGCTTTTTTGCCCAATAAACACTATAGCAAATTCAACGATAATTATTGGTAGCTATTTTCCAACCCCATCTTTTGGCTATTGGCTAACTTGCCACGAACCAAGGGAATAATAGTCGAATGCGGTTCTAGGATGCGTTACATATTACGTCATGATGTGTCAACTACTTGATCCACATGCTATACAAGCAATCCCACTTGAATATCCATCTGTAAAACGAAAACATCACTTCACTGTCTTGCGCGCACGTCTTGTAGGCAGTTTGTGTTCCATCACATAAGTATGCTCTACCGCTGTCGTTGCATTATGCTCAAGAGGCACAGTGCTAGCATGGCTGTTGGTATGTGGGTGTCTCCTCTGTTTGTTTCCTGTCACGAAGTCTTCGCGCCGTTGCTCTACAAGTGGTACATGTTTGGTACCCTTCTTCAAAACTTCAACCACTCTGACACATACTGCAATATTTTCTTTCGCTCATTACCACTATACTATGCTAAGGCTCGATTCTTTTCAATGTTTTTCATAAGAATACTCCCCGAACTAATTCCTTCCCTTTGCGCCTATAATCCTCACCTCTTCCACACAGGCTCGACATGATTTGTTGTATATGCTTTCAAATATCATACTTACAAACTCATCTTCGCGCTTTGCTTGTTTATCTATCGTGCAGTGATTTCCAATCTGTGCCTGTAAGAAACTCAACTTCAACATTACCATCATCTGATGTACTCATCTTATTACTTGATGATGCTGTGAGTAGTTTTTCGTTTCTTCGTCCGACTTTTTCTGATAATGCTCGAGTGCTTGGGATTCAATAATCACCATTCCCCAGCTTCGTCAAGTATGCATTGTCCTTATTCTCACGGGTGGGTTCTACGGGCGTTATGTTGAGATTCTTGCGAAACTTTCATTGAGTATCTTCTCTATCCTTTTGAGTCTCAGTATGACGTCTTGCTTGAACTGAGGTTTATCACCTGTATTCTTATACAGAAAATAAGTTTTGAATGATAACTTTCAAAATATGTGTTGTATTGTAAACGTCTATTCTCAATGCTATCTTGTGTAGCATCACTCATGTAAATGTATCTCGCGACTTTCCCCTTTCGCGGTTCCACTCACAAACAGACCAAGGCAACAACGCTAGGACTGGTCGGGGTCCATGTTTCTTTTTGCTGATTGATCTTCTGGGGGCAATACCTAACACTGTCAATATACATGCTGTAATGCCTTAAATCCATGACATCTAAGTTGTTTTTCAAGCTTTTTACATCCTTTTTGGCATCTTTCATATCCATTTCCAATTTGTCTAACGCTACCTGTTTTGTCTGCTTTGAATATGTTTGTCGCAGGGTAACTCCACGTCCCATCTTAAAACTACATCTATCCTCTACAATGAAATGGCTTGCTTGTTGTTCTCTTTTGTGGATGTTGTTTCTCTATGATATAAGCTTTTCCTACAGCAACAAGGCAAACGGTCTAGACCCGCCGGGGTTAACTCAGTCGTCCTTCCCTTGTATCTTCGTATTTATCCGTTATAACTGGTTTACACATTGCTTTTGCTTCAGTTTTCAACATTAAACAGCTTAAAATGCCTTTACATATCTCCAGCACAGAATAACAGCACCCACGATATCTGGGCATTGTTGCTATGACCTGTTCTATTTCTTCAAGGTTGCCAATGACATCAATACAGTCACCGTGTTTCGTATAAAATAACATAAAACTCTTCAACTGATATTAGTCATGAGCGACAATGTTGCAACGGTAGAAGCATTCGATATACCCAAGTATCAGATCAAACACAGCAGGGATGAAATGATGCCATCCCTACCAGCAAGAATGTTGGCTCTGGCTTCAAGCCTATATATTCAGCCCTAGTGTAGACGTGGATAACACATTGAACGCAGTAAAGAACATTATAAATGATGTAATGAAAGTTGATTCAGAAAAGGAACAGATATGTTTCAATCACTCCGATGCAACCTTTTCCATCTCCTGCATCATCCGCATCATCAGGCCAATTCGGTCATCTGAATCCGCTGCGATTGTGCTATGACTGCCCTTCTATGCTCCTTGATCTTCACTACAAACGTTTGCGAGGCAAAAGAGACTGCCCATACCGCTCATGAATGATGCGCTGAAGCTTCTTGCTAAGAACTGTTGGCATGCTCCGGCACTCAAACTCGAAGCACAGCACTCAGATGGCACGCCATGAAGTTGAAAGCATGACCAATTATTTTAACGAGTGTGAGTAGTGGCCTTAAAAACCAATCATGTAGAATTTAGGGGTTAAGCTTCCTGCACCTCCCGTACTACAGTGCCCCTTCGTGAGCCCTTTCACAAGGGTTTCTTTTCTGGCTGCAAGCACAATGGCCTATTGGTCAGACCGAGACAGGTCGGAGCAAGACTGGCCAAATTGGTCTTCGTCTTCGTGGAAGGACCAGGAGCAAGCGGTGGATGGCGGCCACTGGTCGGAGGGGGACTGGACAAGGCAGGGCCAGGAGGCGGAGGCATGGCAGGGCCAGGAGGCGGATACGAAGCAAAAGAAGCCCGGCACCGGGACAAGGAACGACTGGTCTCACAAGAAACGCCAGCTCGACTTCTTGCACGGCAAGGATATGAATGCCCTGAAGCTGCAGTATGAAAAGCAGATGACAGAGATGCAGCAGAGGCATGATGACGCTCTGCAGCAGAAGCAGCAGGACCTCGACACGATCGACACGGCCTTCAAGGAGTATGCATACAATTATGCAAAGACTCAGTGTCAGCTTGACATGCTGCTGGATCGCGAGACAAAGCACCAGGACGAGATCGCGGAGCTCGAGACTCAGGTGAACGATGCCTATGAAGAGCTCAGGACGAAGAACGCCGAGCACGAGAGCTTCAAGAAACACTTTGAGAAATAACTCATCATGTTCATGCCCCGGTCCTGAGTGGGCCTTTTGTACTTCTCCAGGCCGTGCTTGTTGGTGTAACCCACAACAAACTCATTGACCTCTGTGATCTGCTCCATCATGGCTGCGACCTGCTTCCTCTTGCGATGGTTTTCGCTACTGATCTCTGCCATCTTGCCCTCTAGCTTCTTGACCTGCTCCTCGCAGGCGGCAGCCTTCTCCTTGAGCTCCTTGTTTTCGGACTCGGCCTTGGCCAGCTACGCCTTGAGCTGCTTGTTCTCCTCGTGCTGCTGCTTGCTCTGCTCATCCTCTGCCTTGTCCCAAAGCCCCACCGTACTACCATCCATAGATTGAATACGAAAGCTTTCGCGTTGCTCAAAGAAAATAAACCTAGCCTTGTTTTTTTTTTAGAACATGGTATTTGGGCTTGACAAACAAGCATGTATTGGGATACGAGTTGGACTAATTTTCGGGCTATGGTGGGTGGTGGCGTACTATTCCCAAAACGGGCACACCCCATACTAACTATTAATTTAATCATTCCGGTTGGAAGACCATGTGGCTGAACGGTAGGCACTAGGAACCCAAAAGTCCCACCGGCCTCGAAAAATGCTAGCACGATCTGAATATCGCTGCAAGCGGAACTCCAGAATACGACTAACCTTGGCTCATGTCACCAACTCGGGACTATGCCTGCATTCTTCAATCAGCATAAAAATGAAGTGTTCGTGGACCGGCTGCTGAATGACAGTCTAGATGCCCTGCGCTGACACAGCAAACCCGACAGCCCAAACACCCGCAACTCACACTGAGACTCTTTGCAGCCGGTCGAGGTTCGGGATGTCGGGTCTCAGGCCTGGTTCTGGCCTTGAAACCGTGTTGCGGGGCTTACGGACTAGGGTTGATGAACATTATACCATAATTCCTACAGTTTAGGGGTCCTTGAGGCAGTGCAGGGTTGATATCATCATCAGTAGGGTTGAGGGCCAGGGTGGCTTAGGGGTTCGGGTTTTCAGGGGTTGAAGGTTTCGGGTTCCCCAGCCCCTGATCTGACATCGAAGTTATGATTGAGCTGTGGGCCTGCTTTCCCATGCAGTATGCCTGACGCCGTAACTACACCCCAACCCCTAAACCCTAAACCCTAAACCCCAACCCCTAAACCCCAAACCCCAGACCCTGAACCGCAAACGCTAAACTCCCTACACTACATCCTAAACCCTAGAACTAATACAAACATGCAGCGATTACACAGGAATCATTTTGAACTTGTTGCAATGCTTTTGAGATCTTGCGTGCAATGCTGAAGCCGTATTCTGCTGAGGGCAAGGATGTGATCCGGGACCCGAAACACTGCGCGGCCATGGGACAAGGAAAATGTCGTAGTCCAATCCGAGCGCAATTGCGATTCCCGTGACAAGGGGGATCACTTCGTAGGTAATCCCATAGAAGTGCCTGCGAAGGGCTGGAAACAACCACTGATCGGGGTTGCACTTCAATAGATGCTTGCTATACATCGCTTCTGGGGCTTTTGCTAGTGTGAATACCCATTTAAATTGTGACGACACTGCTACTGTAAACCGATTCTAAATGCTCAACGTTGTCCCTAAACTCCCAGCAGCCGAGCCACTGCAGATGAGGACACAGGCCATGCAGCAGCCTCTGGAGGGAGTGTTCGAGCCACGTTGAGTCGTCGATGAGTTTATCTTTGGGAGTTCCCACAGAGCAGTGACAGAGGACAAGAGAGTTAAGAATGAGGCTCGCAGTGAGCCCCCCTTTTCGCAGCTAAGTGTTTTGGACAGGAAGCAGGTTCAGGAGTTGGACGCTGCGGGCGGTAGTACTGCATCTTCAGGTGCAGCAAGTCGCACTTCATCACTTCGCTACACTTCGCTACACTTCCCTGGGAACGTCTATCGGCCTTAGAGCAAACTTGTCATCTCAATCTTCGATCCCCTGATAGCGGTCACGTAACCCTGAGTAGACCCCAACCGAAGGGCCTCATGCCATGCTACAGCTGGAGTTCTGCTAAATGCATGGTCCTCCAGACAATATGGGAGCTTCCAAAAATTAGGGTACCTTAGTTTAGGGTCCTTATAAGAAGGGTCCTAGTATTTAGGGTACGATATTAGGGTCCCTAAACCCTAAACCCTAAACCCTATTTTGGGAAACTCCCATATCCCAACTGCCACCTGTGCCGCAAGAGCCGAAAAATGACACTAAGCCCTACGCCTTACCAAGCCCCGAATCCACAAGAGTGTAGGGTTTAGGGTTTAGGGTTTAGGGTTTAGGGTGTAGGAGCCTTAATAATTTGAATAAGGCTTCGGGGTCTACTACACTGCACCCCAATCCGTAAATTACAGGCACTTGGAGGATCATGGGACTTAGTATGTAAGGTTATAAGTCCCTGAATTGGGGTTACAAGAAAATATAAGCATAGTTACCGTAGTTATAACCCTACTTACTAAGTCCCACGATCCTTTAAGCCCTAAGCCCTAAACCCTAAACCCTACTTACTAAGTCCCACTAAGTCTCCTTTAAGCAAAGGATCCTTTAAGTAACCCTAACCCTAAACCCTAATTATACCCCTACTTACTAAGTCCCACGACCCTTTAAGCAAAGGAGCGTCGTTTGGTAGACAATCGCTCCCATGCCGAAGGTTCCCACAAGTGTGAAGCACAACCTCGGCTGCAAACCCTACCGGCCCAAAGGGTTTGCAGGGTTTAGGCTTTAGGGTTCAGGGGGTTTAGGGTTTAGGGGGCTTTAGGGTTTAGGGGTTTTAGGGTTTAGGGGGCTTTAGGGTTTAGGGGTTTAGGGTTTACGGGGTTTAGGGTTTAGGGGTTTAGGGTTTAGGGTTTACGGGGTTGAGGGTTCAGGGGTTTAGGGTTTGAGGGTTTACGGGGTTTAGGATTTAGGGTTTACGGTGTTGAGCCACTCACTCCAAAATATAAATCCACAAGTCAAACAGCATGAAACCAGCTCTGACTCCAAACCACCACTCTAGGATCCTAGTCTCACCCTGAAAGCTTGAAAATGCCAACAGCACAAAACCCCAACGCCAAAATTCTTAGCCAGCATTCCTATCCTTTGAGGTTAAAGCCGTCCGAACTATAGGTGGCCTACGCCGGAATTTCAACAAGTAGAACGCGTCTTGTGTGAGACAACTGTGAAGGGTCATCATTGTGTGTCGGGGGTAGATGTTCTCGATGGCGGTGGGAGGTAAAGAGGAATCATATTTCCGGAGGGTCTCATACTACTCGACTGTGCAAAGCTTCGTCGTTCGGTGGGGCAAAAGGATGTGCATGTTTGCCTGCAACAGCATAACCAGCAGCAAGATGTGAGAAGCTGTCCGCACTCAGGCACTTAGCCTTCCGGCTTCGTTTTGGGATGTGCATCTGCCGCGGTGTTCTTTCTTAAAGCATGCATACCGTAATGTATGGGCCTCAGTTAATAAGGAACCCCCGAAATAGTATAGGTAATGCCCCTATATTAACAACCGGAACCCTGAAGCCTTTCCGGTCTTCACCAGTCTTCACGCGGGCCGGACACCCCTTTTTGCCCTCAGTTCTAGGCAGAAGCTCGTGTATCACCTCGACGTTTCAAGTCACCATACCGTACACATGCACTCTATCAAAATGTAAACCTCATTTCGGAATGAACATTTTGGACAAGTTGGACAAACCTCCATTGTAAAGGCTCAGCAGCGCAAGAGCCAGACGCAACGGCACCAGCAGGCTTTGAAAGGAGAGGTACACGACCTGAGCTGAAAAGAGCAGGTCCAAGACTTCAGGTTCTCTAGGGGTCTTAACAATTAGACTAGAGTTTTGGGGCCCATTATACTACAATTATAATACGGAACCCCCACAACAGTATGGGTAGGCCCTAAATCAGCCTCAAAACTCGCATGAAGGGCTGAAAACGAAGGACGGTCTTCCGAGTATATTTTCAATTCTCTGACGCTTGAGGAGGTCTCGTGGCTGCTCTTTGCGCGTAGTTTCTTAGCGATGCTTCGGGTTTCGGTTTTGGCTCTCCTTGAGATGGTCGAGTGTACATGCCTGAAGTCTCCTGTTCTAGCCGGTCTTAGACGTAGTCAGACGTCCTCTCTCAAGGCCTTCATGGGCTTTCAGATAGAACTAATATGGGGCCTTAATGTTCAGAATAAGGCTTTGGGGGTACATTGTCCTACAATTATAATTAGGGAGCCCCCAAAACAGTGTAGGTAATGATTACGACCCCTACATTAGAGGCTTTGTAAGAAGTGCACCACGTACTGGAGTAGGTTCCCCAGTAGCCCCTAAATTATAAGGGTACCCTTTCTCCTACTTTTTGGGCTTACTAAGGGAACCCGAAAAGAAAAAGGGCAACAGGGTACTCCTTGGAACCTAGTGGATCGGAACTCATTCCCCCAGAGACTCCAAAACTCCTTAATGAAGGAATATTCCTTAAACTATAGCAGGATCCTTAATATGATTTGAGGTATATTGCTTAATTAAAGTATATTGGAGTCGCTGGGCGCCAAGCTACCTAGCTGAGGCGAGAGCAGCCATGATCAGAGTTACGGTCACGGCAAGGTAGGGCCACATGGCCGTCAGAATCCTCGCAGCAGCTCAAATAGACTGTGGTAGTTAGACATGGGGGTTTCCTCCAAACATAGGGGGACCCGAATATAGTACCCTAAATAGTAGGATCCTTAGTATAAAGACCCCAGAAGATGCTTAGATAAAAGAACCAAAATAGGGTGCCCATTATGGTTCCGAAACTCAAACCCTAAACCCTAAACCCTAAACCCTAAACCCTAAACTCCCCACATAGACGGAACGCGCAACCCGCGGTCTCCTGCATGCCTCCCTTGACCATGATGCAGGAAGAAACCTATATAATGGGTTTAGGGTTTAGGGGTTTAGGGGTTTAGGGTTTAGGGTCTATAGGGGCCTCAATCCTTGGCTGACTTCTGAACCCGTCCTAAAAGTTAAACTTTTAGTCTACTTATTATCATTCATATAGAAACCCAAAAAGTT